TCGGAGTGTGGGAGGAACCCGGAGTACCCAGAGGAAAACCACGCAGGCACAGGGAGAACATGCAACCTCCAGGCAGTTGGCACTGTGGTTGGGATTTTGCAAAGTTAGGCCACACTGACACGCAAAGTGCTTTTGGAGCATACTAAAATCCACGTATTAGCAGATTCTGCAGGGTCCAATGAGAATTAAAGTTTTTGTAAAGGCTGAATTTTTTTTTTACCTGAATGCATTAGGGTAAAAAAACGTATGTATGCAGCCCCTTCCCCCAGCCACCCTTATACTCACCTGAGCCCAATCTCGATCCAGCGCTGTGTTCAAGAGCAGCGTCTCTCTCTGCTCTCTCCCTCCTCATTGGCTAAGAGACAGCAGCAGGAGCCATTGGCTCCTGCTGCTGTCAATCACAGCCAGTGAGGAGGGAGCAGGGGCTTCCTATAGACACACAGAGCTGCCTCAGAAGGGCCCTCATAACAAGCAGGATGTGGGACCCCAGAAGAGGAGGATCAGGGCTGCTCTGTGCAAGACCATTACACAGAGCAGGTAAGTATGACATGTTTATTATTTTAAAACAAGGCCATTGGCTCCTGCTGCTCTCAATCACAGCCAGTGAGGAGGGAGCAGGGGCTCCCTATAGACACACAGAGCTTCCTCAGAAGGGCCCTTATAACAAGCAGGATGTGGGACCCCAGAAGAGGAGGATCAGGGCTGCTCTGTGCAAGACCATTACACAGAGCAGGTAAGTATGACATGTTTATTATTTTAAAACAAGGCCATTGGCTCCTGCTGCTGTCAATCACAGCCAGTGAGGAGGGAGCAGGGGCTCCCTATAGACACACAGAGCTTCCTCAGAAGGGCCCTTATAACAAGCAGGATGTGGGACCCCAGAAGAGGAGGATCAGGGCTGCTCTGTGCAAGACCATTACACAGAGCAGGTAAGTATGACATGTTTATTATTTTAAAACAAGGCCATTGGCTCCTGCTGCTGTCAATCACAGCCAGTGAGGAGGGAGCAGGGGCTCCCTATAGACACACAGAGCTGCCTCAGAAGTGAGTACGCACAAGGGCCCTCCTAACAAGCAGGATGTGGGACCCCAGAAGAGGAGGATCTGGGCTGCTCTGTGCAATACCATTACACAGAGCTGGTAGGTATGACCTGTTTTATTATATTAAAACAAGAAATTCCTAATCTTTACAATCACTCCACTGCTGCGCGCCTGTTAAAAGGCAATACGTTTCTATGCAGGTCGGGAAGTACGCATTTTTGCGTACGCTCCCAGCGCGCACAAGCCTAAGGGCTGGTGTAGATGAGATTTGTTGCCACACACATTGCTGCTCAACTAGATACTTGAGTGCGAATCTCTGTCATCGGCCTGCTCTTCCTGCAGCACAGAGATATCCCAGTGGAACTTGCTGCGGCCAGAGAAATACAAAGCTGGTCCAATGCACCCCTGGGGCATCATTTCTGGCTATTTATTAAACTTTATTACTCAGAGTGCGCTTCCCTACTCATGGTTAGCCAACAGCTAGCTTGCAAAACTGAAGCAGCGTTGTTTCATTTCAAAACTGAATTTACTTCTGTCAATAGTCCTGTAAAACTGCAATACAATCACATAAACTGAAATTACAATATGCTTGCCTACATGTCTCTCACAAATGCAAACAATTAACCCATTTCTTACAAACGGCTGTCTACAAATCGCACTGAATACATTGACTGCGATCTAGCTATGTATGTGACTTTACGGACACAAAGAACTTGCAGGCATATGTGTATCAAAAGAAGAATGAAATAGACCTTCATTGGTGTTCTGCTGGAAGCTAAAAAGGGCTGCAGTGGTTTATGGGAAATCTTTATGCCTCACAAACATGAGACACTTCCTGTTCTTTTATTGATCAGAGTTCAACAGTAAACGCCCAATCGCTGGCTCCCTCCTCTACACAATGATGATATACAGAACACAGAGTATTTGGTTGTCCTTCATGACTAAGCCTCTATTTGGGAGAAACGCGTCGAGCAGGTCTGGCAGAGAGTAACGTGCAAATACTTTGCTGGGATATGCATGCAGCAAAGACTTATTCCAGTAGAACCTGCTGTGTCCAGAGAAATACAAAGCTGGTGAAATGCGCCCTTGGGACTGCCATCATTTCTGGCTTTTTATTAAACTTTATTGCTCTTCCAGTAAACTTACAAACCCAGAGTATTTAGTAGTCCTTCATGACTAAGCCTCTGCGGGGGAGAAACGCGTTGAGTGGGTCTGGCAGAGAGCGATGTATAAATTCTCTGGCTTGATGAGGGAGTCTCAGCAGGGAAGATGTTTTTCCCTCTGTGGAAGCAGTGATCTCTCTGCAGAGGTCCAATATGCCCCTGCTGAGTTAGACCCAGATCTCTCCCGTCAGCGAAGCCTCTGCTCCGTGCTGATTGGAGAGCTGTAGCTGTAACCTACTGCTGCATGTAGTAGGGAAGCCGATTTTTGAGCCACCTGTAAGTGTTATATACCTGTGGTGGCTGGGTGCAAACAGGTGGTCCCCAAAAGGTAAGTATGCGCGCTCTTCATTTAGAGTGCGGGCTTTGTTGACAAGTGACCCTGTGGTGTTGAAGTCAGAGGATCAACATGACAGCCAGACAAATAGCATTTTTAAAAATGTACGCTGTAGCCTGTACGCACAACCCCCCCCCCCCCCCCCACTTGGGGTTTCCAGATTTCATCCAGTCCTCATACCAGCCCACCACAGGAAGCCAGGAGAGAGAGGAGCCACAGGAAGCCAGGTAAGGGGGTGGGGGGTGCAAGAAAGAGGGGCAACAGGGAGCCAGGTAAGGAGGGGGGCAGGTGAGAGAAAGAGAGGCAACAGGGAGCCAGGTAAGGGGGGGGGGGGTGCAAGAAAGAGGGGCAACAGGGAGCCAGGTAAGGAGGGGGGCAGGTGAGAGAAAGGGGCAACGGGGCCAGGTGAGAGAGATGAGCCACAGGGAGCCAGGTAAGGAGGGGGGCAGGTGAGAGAAAGAGGGGCAACGGAGCCAGGTAAGGGGGAAGAAAGAGGGGCAACAGGGAGCCAGGTAAGGGGGGGCAGGTGAGAGAAAGAGGGGCAACGGAGCCAGGTAAGGGGGTGGGGGGGGGGGTTTCAAGAAAGAGGGGCAACAGGGAGCCAGGTAAGGGGGGGGCAGGTGAGAGAAAGAGGGGCAACAGGGAGCCAGGTGGGGGGGGGCAGGTGAGAGAGAGAGCCACGGGTTCGCCAGGTGACAGAGAGGAGCCACGGGGGGCCAGGTGAGAGAGGAGCCACAGGGAGCCAGGTAAGGGGGGGGGGGCAGGTGAGAGAAAGAGGAGCAACAGGGAGCCAGGTAAGGGTGGGGGGGGGGGGGGCAGGTGAGAGAGAGGGGCCACGGGTGTCAAGTGAGAGAGAAGAGCCACGGGGCCAAGTGAGAGAGAGGGTTGGCCACATGGAGCCTGGACAGAGAAGGGCTATTGGGGGCCAGGTGAGAAGGGGGGGAAAAGGGGCCAGGTGAGAAGGGTGGGCCCAGTGGGCCAGGTGAGAGAGGGGCTACAGGGAGCCTGAGGAGAGAAGCAGGCCAAGGAGCGCCAGGTGTGAGAAGGGGGGGCCACAGGGAGCCAAGTCAGAGAGGGGCTACAGGGGGCCAGGTGCAAGGGGCACAGTGGACCAGGTGAGAGAAAGGGGGGCCACAGGGAGCCAGATGAGGGGGGCACAGTGGGCCAGGTGAGAGAGGGGGGCCAGGTGAGAGGGGGCCACGGAGCCAGGTCAGTGAGGGGCTACAGGGGGTCAGGTGAGAAGGGCACAGTGGGCCTGGTGATAGAGAGAGGGACCACAGAGAGCCAGGTGAGAGAGGGGGAGCAGAGGGAACCAGGTCAGAGAGGCAGGCCACGTGGTACCAGTTGGGACAGGGGAGCCACAGTTGTCCAGGGGAGAGAGGGGCCAAAAGAGAGCCACAGGGGGCCAGGTGAGAGAGAGCAAATGATTGACGCCATTGGATTAGCATGGCGACCAGAAAACAAGGCTGCCATCTGCCCTCTTGTACTATATGCTTGTTTTCTGGCTGTCATGCTTATCCAGTGGTTTCAATTATTCCTGACACACACAGCCGGATATTATGCCAACCAGGATCTCGGACTTCACTTGCTGCATGCTCATTACAGCTCATTGCCTTAGCGAGTAGAGAGCCAGGCAGTTAGCATTTGCAGGAGCCCAGCAATGGCGACTTGCATGACTTCAGGAAGCTGACCCCTCCCACTGCGCCCACCTGGGGGCGGAGCTTTTGTGAATATGGCTGCATCATACAAATGGCAAATAAAACGAATTCCTGTAACCATCAGAACCGCCCCATGAGCTGCGAATGACGTCCAGCAAACCGTGCAACCGCGCTAAAGCCAGACAGTGCGCCGTTATTGGCATCCAAGCTGATTTCCAGAGGAAAAAACATCTAAATCCATCGATAAAATACAAATATGAGTCGTCTTATGTACCAAATCTGTATATTTCCGTCCATCCAGTTTTGTTATTTACACAGCTCTGCCGCACAGTACAGCTCTGTCTGGTAGGACAGGAGACTTGACCTATTCTATTCTATTCCATTCTATTCTATTCTGGGTCTTTATATCTGTCTAGAGTTCCGCCTTAAATTACCCAGAGATCGTCTTCATTGGTTAGATTACAGGGAAAAGCTGGTCAGTGATTGGTGGGAAGTGGAGCAGACTCCTCCCCCTGATTAGCGGTCTTGCTTTCATCCCTCCCATTGTACAGAGCAGTGACGTGATTAGGAGGTGTGGTCATACCGAGCAGCCAATCAGAAGTCAGCCCCATCCCTCTGCTCTATGAAGAAGAATGTTCCTCTCAGCCGTTAGATCCCATTGGCTGCTCCGGGTTCCATTCCAGACACGTGACCCGCTGACAGACGATACATTGTATCCAGTGACAGCTCCGCGGATACGATGGGACTTCACTTCCCGGCATGCCCCGCGCTCAGCTGTCAGTGATTGGCTCCCAGCATGCCCCGGGTGGAGGTCAGTTCCCGGCGTGCTGTGCGGCTCCATGCTGATGTCCTAAAGATGCCGATGAAGGGGAAGTTCCCGATCCGCCGGACCCTCCAGTATCTGCAGAGCGGGGAGATCATCTTCAAGGATCCGGTCCGGATCATGACTGTCAACTACAACAGCCGGGGGGAGCACGGCCTGGGGGCCAGGTGAGGGGGAGAGAGAGGGGCCACAGGGGGCCAGGAGATAAGGGGTCACAGGGAGAGAGGGGCCACAGGGGGCCAGGAGATAAGGGGTCACAGGGAGAGAGGGGGCCACAGGAGCGCATGGAGAGAAGGAAAGGGGTCATAGGGGTGGAGAGGGGCCACAGGGGAAGAGAGAGGGGTCAGGAGAGAAGGAAAGGGGTCATGGGTGGAAGAGGGATAGAGGGGCCACAGGGGGCTAGGAGATAAGGGGTCACAGGGAGAGAGGGCCACAGGGGGCCAGGAGATAATTGGTCACGGAGAGAGGGGGGCCAGGAGATAAGGGGTCACAGGGAGAGAGGGGCCACAGGGGCACATGGAGAGAGGGGGTCAGGAGAGAAGGAAAGGGGTCATGGGTGGAGGAGGGATAGAGGGGCCACAGGTGGGAGAAAGGGGTCACAGGAAGAGATATAAGGGGCCACAGGGGTGGAGAGAGGGGGGACAGAGGGACAACAGGGGGAGAGAGAGAGGGGCCATAGGGGGGCAGGTGGGATAAAGAGGGGTCACAGGGGTAGAGGTAGGCTAGGGGAGGGAGAAGGGCCAGGTGAGGGAGGACCACAGAGGGGAGCCAGGTGAGAAAGAGGGAGGGGCACAAGGTGCCAGGTGAGAGAGAGGGAGGGGCCACAGTGGAGCAAGTGAGAGAGAGGAGCCACACAGGAGCAGGTGAGAGAGAGAAGGGCCACAGGGTGCCAGGTGAAGGAGGGGGGCGGCAGGTGAGAGAGAAGGTGGAAACACAGAGGGCCAGGTGAGAGCGATAAGGGGTCACAGGGGTGGAGAGGGGGGACAGAGGGACAACATGGGGAGATACAGGGGGGCAGGTGGAAGAAAGAGGGGTCACGGGGTTGAGGTAGGCTAGGGGAGGGAGCAGGGCCAGGTGAGAAGGGGGCGCCACAGGGGGCCAGGTGAGGGAGATACAGGGGGCCAGATGAGGAGGGGGGCCAGGTGAGAAAGTGGGAGCACAAGGGGCCAGGTGAGAGAGGGAGGGGCCACAGTGGGCCAAGTGAGAGAGCAGAGCCACACAGGAGCAGGTGAGAGAGGGAGGGGCCACAGTGGGCCAAGTGAGAGAGAGGAGCCACACAGGGCGCCAGGTGAGAGAGGGCGGGGCCACAGGGGCACCAGGTGAGAGAGGGAGGGGCCACAGTGGGCCAAGTGAGAGAGAGGAGCCAACCAGGAGCAGGTGAGAGATGGAAGGGCCACAGGGTGCCAGGAGGGAGAGGGGGCGGCAGGTGAGAGAAAAAGAGAAGGTGGAAACACAGGGTGGCCAGGTGAGGGTAATTGGGGGGGGGGGGATTTAAATGACCCTAAAGGAACATAGGGGGCCAGGTGAGAGAGACTTGACGAGGAGCCACAGGGTAGGAGCAGATTCATGGTGAGCTTGCAGCAGACCAGGTGAGGCTGATTGATCCCGAGGCTGGAGTGCAGACAAGTAGGGATGAAGGAAATAGAGTGGGGGCCAGCATGGGGACACATGGGCTTCTGGAACAAATGTGAGGTCATTAGGGGGCCTAGGGGTGGGAGCTCTGTGACTGTAAGCTCCCAGAGGTCATAAGGCAAGCGTGAGTGCATACAGGGCTGTGGGACGAACATGCACTCATATTGGGCCACTGGAAGGGTGTGAGGTCATATAGGGCCGCTGAATACGCATGACATCATATGGGGCTGCAGAATGAGTATGAGGTCATACTTTATGACATCATATGGGACAAATGTAAGGTCCTATGGGCCCAGGGCATGAGTGTGTGGTTATATGGGGTCATACGGGGCTGCGGAATGAGTATGAGGTCATACAAGACTATGACGTCATATGGGGCTATGGGACAAATGTAAGGTCATATGGGTCTAGGGCATGAGTGTGTGGTTATATGGGGTCATGGGAGGAGTGTGGGGTCATAGGGGGCTGCAGAATGGGCATGGGGGTCACCTGGCAAGTGTGAGCTCATTTTTGGGGTGATGAGTGTAAGCGGTGTTACATCAGGGCAAGGACAGCGGTGAGCTCTGAGGCCATGTTTGAGCTCATATGGAGGAGTGTAGAGTGCGCCCCCTGTGGGTCTGTCGTGGTGCACTCCCTCTCTCAAGGCTCAGCTTTATCTCGTCTTTTATTTTCAGGAATTTTGTGTTCTTTAATATCCCTCAAATCCAATATAAGAATCCGTGGGTCCAGATCGTGACCTTCAAGAACATGACCCCCTCCCCGTTCCTGCGCTTTTATTTAGGTTAGTATAACATCTACAGGGATGGTGTCTTCATCTGAAGTCCTGCCTCTCTCTGCACACCATGTGGGACACTAACCTGCTTCTTCTCTAAGTAGCTGAACAAGTGATCCACAGGTGAGAGAGAGGGGGACAGGCTAGATAGGGGGCTACAGGGGGACAGGTGAGCGGGGACGGTCTACGGGGAGACAGGTGGGGAGGGTTACAGGTGGACAGGTAGGGGTGGGTAGAGGGGCACAGGTGAGAGAGAGGGGGACAGGCTAGATAGGGGGCTACAGGGGGACAGGTGAGCGGGGACGGTCTACGGGGAGACAGGTGGGGAGGGTTACAGGTGGACAGGTAGGGTTGGGTAGAGGGGCACAGGTGAGAGAGAGGGGGCTACAAGGGGACAGATGGGGGGGGCTACAGGGGGACATTTGAGAGAGAGGGGGGCTAGAGGGGGACAGGTGTGAGAGAGGGGGGCTACAGAGGAACAGGTGAGGAGGGATAAAGGGGGCAGGTGAGAGAGAGAGGTGGCTATTGGGGGAAAAGGTGAGAGGAGGGGGGGGCTGCAGGGAAACAGAGGTGGGGGGGGATACACGGGGACAGGTGAGCGGGGGAGGTCTACGGGGAGACAGGTGGGGAGGGCTACAGGAGGACAGGTGGGGGGGGGGGGGGGAGAGAGGGGGCTACAGGGACAGATGGGGGGGGGGGGGGGGGTGTACAGACAGGCGAGAGAGAGGTGGGGCTGGAGGGGGACAGGTGTGAGAGAGAGGGGGGCTACAGAGGGACAGGTGAGAGAGAGGGGGATGCTGGGGAAAAGGTGAGGGGGGGGGGGGCTACTGGGAAACAGAGGGGGGCTGCATGGTAACAGGTGAGATAGAGTGGGGGGGGGGTACAGGAGGACAGGTGAGACAGTGGGACAGGTGAGATGGGGGAGGGGGGGTACAAGGGAACAGGTGATACGGGGGGGTTACAAGGGGACAGGTGACACAGAGGGGGAGGGGGCTACAAGGGGACAGGTGAGAGTGAGGGGGCTGTGGGGGGACAGGTGAGAGAGGGGGGGGGGGGGCTACAGGGGGACAGGTAAGAGAGGTGGCCAGGTGAAAGAAAAGATATGGGGGGAGGGGCAGGTGAGAGGTTGGAGATGCAGTGGGGCCATGTGAGAATTTGACAGGGGAACAGATGCAGGGGCAACACAGGGAGATAAAGGGGAGACGCTGGGGGGCCAGCTGAGGGGGGGCACAGGAGGCCAAGTAAGAGAGACCAGCCTGGGGCAGGTGTGAGAAGGCATAGAGAAGCAGAGACTGGCTGAGAGTGACAAAGGGGACAGATGAACCAAGGTGACACGGGGGGGGGGTCAGAGATAAAACTGACCACAGAGACCACATGGGGGGGGGGGGGGGGGGGGGGGGGGGGGGGGGGGGGGGAAAACGACTGGTATGAAAGATGGTCTGGGAAGACATGTAGGGTGAGAGCAGATTCACAATGAAGCTTCTTCTTTTCTAAAGAACAATGTTGAGGGCCGTACTCCATGCCAGCCTTTCTTTGCAGGGGGCCCAGACTCCCCGGGGTGCCCTGAGGTTTCTTCAGGGGTGCCTTGGCAAAAGGTCTAAAAATTGCCCAAAACTCTATACAATCCAGTGGGTGGAACAAGCCGGCCTTTTATTTACACAGTCACAGGTTTCCATTGCGCACCATTACGACCTTCTAGCCGCCGGCGTCCTGACAACCAATGACATCATCAGTTAAGGAGGATGTCAGTTGCCTGCACAATATCCTAGTTTGACCCTCCCCCGCCCCTCTCCATCAGTCCTGGGGTCACATCAGCTCAATGACGGAGAGGAGAAACATTGGAATACTAGTCAGTACCAGAGTGCAAAAAGTGTATTTCTGCTGGAAGAATAGATCACCTCTAATGTTGGGGGTCCTACGTGTGTGGATGTTGCTGCGCTATATAAAACTATTAGAATAGCTTTTTACATTTTTGAATGGGGCACCTCGGGACTGTCTATCATTTTGAAGGGTGCCTTGACTGATAAAGGGTTGAGAAACACAGCTCCATACAGCCAATCGGCACCTTTCTCTGAGTTGGCTTGGAACAGCAACTTAAAATTTGATTAGCAGGTTATCCCTCTGTCATGGCTTTAAAGGCTCGTTTACACCAGTGCATGCGCTTTTTGCGTGTTGATGCGTGTTGTGGCAATGTTCAGGTAAATAAACTGCATGCAATGCACAATAACATTTTCATTAAAAAAAAGGAAAAAAAAAAAAAAAAAAAAAAAACTATTTTTTTTAAATATAATTTTTTTTTAATCTTATGTACATTTTGGGTTGTGTTGCTTAGTTTTTTTTTTCTTTTTTCCTTCTTCTTTTAATCACGGGAAGAAAGCGGCGAGCAGATCCTCGTTGACATTGAGGACAAGAGTCACACGGAAATTGTGCAGCACGTGAAGAAGATCCTGGGGAAGACCGAGTAAGCCTCATAGGAGACCATTTTCTTTCTCACCCTAGAGGGCTCCCTACACAGGCTGCAGAGAATGGGGCTGTATCTTAAAGGGGAGTTCCGCTCACGCTGTCAAAAAATAAGTCGGCAGCTTCAAAAACTGTAGCTGCGGACTTTTAAAAAACAGCCACTTACCTGTCCCTCGGTCCCGTGGTGTGTCCCCTGCAGCTCATTTCACCGGCCGTCCTGTATCCCAGGAGGCCGGCATCTTCAGTGTGGGCACCCGGCTGTGGCAGCTTGCGGCTTCACAGCCGGGTACCCACTGCGCATGCGCAAGTAGCGCTGTCCTTTGTGAATGGTCCTGTATTCTTCTGGGACCTGTCACGTGTCCCAAAACTTTACAGGGAGGGAGGACACCTTCCGATTGCCTAGGAGATCGGACCTGGGAGCAGGTACCCAAATTTGACAGGTACCTGCTCCCCCAAAGGTGCCAATTCTTAATTGGGAGCAGGGGAGCAGTCCTTAAAGCGGAGCTTCCCCTTTTGGGTGGAGCTCCGCTTTAAGCCATACTTTTTGTATCACAGTGAAGGATTAGAACCCTCAGTATGTTTTTAGGGGCTCATTTAGACTTGCAGTTGGCGGGGGGGGGCATTATAAACAAGCAGTTGAGCTGAGTTGTTTTTGTTGGCCTTTGCCATTAAGGGTCTAGTCACACTTATGCGACTTCCAAATCATGCGTTTTTGTTTTTTTTTTCCTTCTCTCCCCCCCCCCCCCCCCTCTCCCTCATTGCGTCTTTTGGTTTTGGCTTTTGACCATGGATGATTGTTTGTGCTGTACAAACCCCTACACAACTGCAAAATCCCGTATACACACCTGTGCCGCCCTGTAGCAGTCCTCCTGCTGTTGGGTGGACGGGAAAGCGGTTAATTTAATACCCTGCCATGGCTGGCAGTTCGTCACAAGAGATCGTGTTACTTATTGGGACACAGCTGATCACATGACCGAGCCGACGTCTTCAGCTCTTTCCGTTGATCGGTGATCCGCTGTGTCCGAGGGACGCAGCGCACCACTGATCGCCACGCACACGCGGTTAGAGAGGGAGGACGTCATAGGACGCCCTCCCAGAACGAGAGGACCGCCTTGCGCCCGGCATTTCCTTATATGGCGGGTGGGAGGCGGTTAAAAGCTTTTACATTTTATCATTCTGGAGTCGCACAGAGGATCTGGACATGGAATTATTGCTCTCGCTCTGGCGTGTGTGGCCATACTTCACATATGTTTGCAATTGCCTTTTACGTATGCACGCGGGTCCGACGTGTGCGTTCACATTTGCGCGTGAGTATGGGGGGGGGGGGGAATGGGGGCTCATTAATTTTACATTTATTTATTTTATTGTTACACTGCCCTACTGTTGTGGGTTTAATAACACTTTAAGGTGGGAAAAAAGTTTGACTTTAGAATGACTTCAAGTGTTTCCAAAGGCTCAAGGTTTTTTACCTTCCTGCATTCAATTTAAAAAAACCTGTGTGTAGCAGCCCCCCCCCCAAAACGTTTACCTGAGCCCCATCTCGATCCAGCGATGTCCACAAGAGCCTCGGTTCTCCAGGGACTCTCACTCTTGATTGGCTGAGGCAGCAGCGGGAGCCATTGGCAACCAGTGAATCAGTTGGGAGGGGGCGGGGCCAAGCAGCGGCTCTGTGTTTGAATGGACACGGGAGCGAGCCTGCTCAGGTGCCCCCATAGCAAGCTGCTTGCTGTGGGGGCACCCGACAGGAGGGAGCAGCCCAGATCCTCTTCTTTTGGCCCCTCCCTGCTGTCGAGTGCCCCCACAGCAAGAAGCTTGCTATGGGGGCACCTGAGCAGGCTCGCTCCCATGTCCATTCACACACAGAGCTGTTGTTTCGCCCCGCTCCCTCCTGATTGACTCACCGGTTGCCAATGGCTCCTGCTGCTTCCTCAGCCAATCAGGAGGGGGCAGGGCCAAGCAGCGGCTCTGTGTGTGAATGGACACGGAGCGAGCCTGCTCAGGTGCCTCCATAGCAAGCTGCTTGCTGTGGGGGGTAAGCGACAGGAGGGAGGGGCCAGGAGGAGGAGAAGAGGATCTGGGCTGCTCCCTCCTGTCGGGTGCCCCCACAGCAAGCAGCTTGCTATGGGGGCACCTGAGCAGGTATGTAGGACATACGTGTTTTTTTTTTTTTTTCTTTTTTCTAAATAAACAGACTTTAGTATCACTTATTAAAAGTAGAGCTCCCCTCTGCTCCAGCAATTTCTCTTGCTAGTGCCAATGTCTCCCCACCGACCTCTTTCAGGTTTGGGATCTTAGGCCAGGGTGATGTAACCTGCCCCCCCCCCACATGTGCACAGGGGTTCAGTCTACCCAGGTGTATGCCAAGATTGTGAGTCTTTGCAGGGAGGAGGGTAAGTCCGATTTCTTGCAGGCGTGGCCTAGTGTGTCTGCCGTCCTGCTCCCAGCTTTGTACCTACAATTCCACTTTCGGTTAGTTTTTTGATCTGAAGATCCTTTCCTTGCATTCCCCAAAGTGACCGCTTTGGGTGGCTGAACAACCAATCCCCAGCGCTGTCACCTGGTTGGAAGAAGAGCGAGTCGCATTCTTCCCTCTCGGGTTTGGATACACTTTTTAAATTCTTCACTTTTGTTTCTTTCTGTCTTCAGGGAAACGCTTAAAATGGAAGAGAAAGCCAAGCTGGTGCTATCCCACCCGGCCCACTTCGGCCCGAAGAAGTACTACTTGCGGGAGTGCATGTGCGAGGTGGAGGGGCCAGGTGCCCTGCCCGGGAAAGGTGCCGCTGCCCAACGAGATGACCGGAAAATACAAGAATAAAACTGAAAGCTGAGAGTGCGGTGTGAGCCCCTCCCCCCTCTCTCCCCCCCCCCCCCCCCCCAAGCTGCTATGGACGGGGCACTTTGAAGCCGGGCTACTAATGCTACTATTTAATGATCACCCAGCTCCAGAGTGCCCCTTACCATCCAGGCGCATTCATGTATAGTTACTTTTTTATTGTCTGCCTTTATTGGTTGAATGTTTTTCTAATCGGTTAAATTAAAAGTCGTCAGCTGTATTGGTGATCAATATTTGGTGTTTCATCTCGACAGGCATGTCCGTGTTAACCACTTCCAGTCCAGGCCAAGTCTGACATGTCGCTCCTACGTGTGAAAATCATCTTAGAACCTCCAAATAGCACATATACAGTGAGAGTCCACCCCTGTATACCCCAGTGAGTCCACCCCTCCCCCGACTGTATACAATGTGTATATATACAGTGAGTCCACCCCCACCCCTCCCCCGGACTGTATACAATGTGTATATATACAGTGAGTCCACCCCTCCCCCGGACTGTATACAATGTGTATATATACAGTGAGTCCACCCCTCCCCCGGACTGTATACAATGTGTATATATAGGGACAGTGAGTCCACCCCTCCCCCGGACTGTATACACTGTGTATATATACAGTGAGTCCACCCCTCCCCGGGACTGTATACAATGTGTATATATACAGTGAGTCCACCCCTCCCCCGGACTGTATACAATGTGTATATATACAGTGAGTCCCACCCCTCCCCCGGACTGTATACAATGTGTATATATACAGTGAGTCCACCCCTCCCCCGGACTGTATACAATGTGTATATATACAGTGAGTCCACCCCTCCCCCGGACTGTATACAATGTATATATACAGTGAGTCCACCCTCCCCCGGACTGTATACAATGTATATATACAGTATCTACTACAGAAGTGAGTCCCCCCCCCCCCCCCCCCCCTCATATTTTTGTAAATATTTGATTCTCTCTTTTCATGTGACAACACTGAAGAAATGACACTTTGCTACAATGTGACGTAGTCAGTGTACAGCTCTTGTATAACATGGAAATTTGCTGTCCCCTCAAAATAACTCAACCCACCGCCATTAATGTCTAAACCGCTGGCAACAAAAGTGAGTCCACCCCTAAGTGACAAGGTCCAAATTGGGGCCAAAATGTCAATATTTTGTGTGGCCGCCATTATTTTCCAGCACTGCCTTAACCCTCTTGGGCATGGAGGTCACCAGAGCTTCACAGGTTGTACTGGAGTCCACTTCCTCCATGACGTCATCAGGGAGCTGGTGGATGTTAGAGACCTTGCACTCCTCCACCTTCCGTTTTTGAGGGGGCCCCACAGATGCTCAATAGGGTTCAGGTCTGGAGACATGCTTGACCAGTCCATCACATTCACCCTCAGCTTCTTTAGCAAGGCAGTGGTGGTCTTGGAGGTGTGTTTGGGGTCGTTATCATGTTGGGATACTGCCCTGCGGCCCAGTCTGTGAAGGGAGGGGATCATGCTCTGCTTCAGTATGTCACCTTACATGTTGGCATTTATGGATCCCTCAATGAACTGTAGCCCCCCAGTGCCGGCAGCACTCATGCAGCCCCAGACCATGACACTCCCACCACCATGGTGCCCCAGACCATGACAGTCCCACCACCATGGTGCCCCAGACCATGACAGTCCCACCACCATGGGGCCCCAGACCATGACAGTCCCACCACCATGGGGCCCCAGACCATGACAGTCCCACCACCATGGTGCCCCAGACCATGACACCCCCACCACCATGCTTGACTGTAGGCAAGACACACTTGTCTTTGTACTCCTCACCTGGCTGCCGCCACACACGCTTGACACCATCTGAACCCAATCAGTTTATCTTGGTCTCCATGGTCGCAGGTGTATACAATCAGAAAAGACGTGTAGGGGAAAAAATGTCGGTGGCCTCCACCTGTAAAACCATTCCTGTTTTGGGGGTCGTCTCACCGTTGCCCATCTAGTTGTTCATTTCATTAACACCAAAGCAGCTAACATTACGTGTGGCAAAACCTCACATGTACGGCGTGATCGGCGTTTACTTGTGTGCGGGACTGGCATGTTTCCTTGCCTTTGTGTGGGAGCCGGGGAATGAGAGGACACTTTTTAAAAATGTTATTATTTCACTTAAATGTTTTATTATTTTAAAGTTTTCGTTATTTTATTATTTCACTTAAATGAACATCCCTAGCATGGGCTGTGACAGGTCCTCTTTATGGAGAGATCTCTCCTTTTGGCCTCCAATGCAGCCAATCAGACACAGGTCTGATTGGTTGCTTCATTGGCCGGTAACCGGCTGTTTAGTTGCCTGGATTACGTTTACTAAAAAAAAGAAAATAGATGGGGCTAAAAATTTTTTACTGTAGCTGAAGTCATGATCCCGGTATAACCACTTCAACCTTGGGGGACGGACGGACGGACGGACGTTAGAAGGGATTCAGGTAGATGGGAATTCAGGATCCAAGGCCTCTCCAGGTTCTTCTTTACCCTAATGCAGGCCATAGATGGGTCGAAAATTGGCCGATTTTTCGGCCGAAAATAAAATCGGCCGATTTTCGGATCGTTAGTGGGCGATTTGGTCGGCCGTTTTTCGGTATTTTGGCCGTTTTTTTATTTCGGTAAAGTTGGAAAAAAATCGGCCGATTTTGCCGATCGGCCGATTTTCGCGGCAATTAGTGGGCAAATCGGCCGATTTTTTACCGATAAAAAATCTGCGCATGAGCAGTGACCTGCAAGAGGAAGACAAAAAGAAGAGGAAGACGATGAAGAAGAGGAAGACGATGAGGAAGAAGAGGAAGAGAAGAGGATGAGGAAGAAGAAGAAGAAGGATGAGGAGAAGAGGATGAAGAAGAGAAGAGGATGAGGATGAGGAAGAAGAAGAAGAGGATGAGGATGAAGAAGAGGATGAGGAAGCAGAAGAAGAGGATGAAGATGAAGAAGATGAGGATGAAGAAGATGAAGAAGAGGAGAGGATGCAGAAGAAGAAGAAGAGGGATGAGGATGAAGAAGAAGAGGATGAAGAGGATGAAGAAGAGGATGAAGAAGAAGAAGAGGATGAGGATGAAGAAGAAGAGGAGAAGATGATGAGGAGAAGAAGAGGATGAGGATGAAGAAGAGGATGATGAGAAGAAGAGAAGAGGATGAAGAAGAAGAAGAAGAAGAAGTAGGATGAAAATAAGAATTCCAGTCCAGCAAAAAGTGTCCCTGCAGAGAGCTCAGCTATTTCTGACAGTTCTCTGACAGTTCCTTGACATTTACAGCGGTTGAAACATTGTATCTATTTGTTTCTGAATAAAAACATCTGTATCCTAAATGGAAACAAATAGATACATTGTTGCAACTTCTAAAAATGTCAGAGAACTGTCAAAGAAATAGCAGAGCTCTCTGCAGGGACACTTTTTGCTGGCTCTAGACGGGTAGAAAATCGGCCGATTTTTTTTTTTTTTTTTTTTTTTTTTTTTTTTTTTTTTTTTTGATGGTAACGTCAGCCACTTGAACAACCGATTTTTCGTTTTTTAAAAGAAAAATCTGCAGTTTTTCTCCCCATCTATGGCCTGCATAAGGCCCTGTTCACATCAATTGTTTTTTTTTTTTTTTTTTTTTTGCAGAAACGTGCTACAGTCCATTTAACATGGTTTCCTATGGAATACATTCACATCTATGCGTTTTTCAGATGCTGTGTTTTTGGAAAGGGTCAGGGTCTTTTTTTTACATGGAAAAAGCAACGCTTTCGCAACAATAGTGTTCTTTGAAGACGCTGCTGAAACGCATCTAATGCATTTTTTTTTTTATTTTGTTTTTTAAAACGAAAACATTTCCCTTTTTTACACAAAAAAAATAAGCTGAAAAAAAACCCTCAAAATGCAGCAGCCACTAGTGTGTAAAAACGGAAAGCGAAATGCAAAAAGCATTGCAAAAAAATCGATCGAAAGCATTGGTGTGAAGCAGGCCTAGAAGAAGCTGCGCTGATGTTGACTGAAGCTGAAATACCGCCATCCTCTTAGACATGGGAAAGAGTTCATGTCTTTCAGGTTTCACTTCCTGTCCATACAATGGGGATCTAGCACTCCTATCCGGCCAGAAGCTTGAAGCCTCCCGCCCGCAATCCACAACAAAATCAAATGTTTTGCCTGCAGTTGGGCATTGAGTTTCATCAAAGCATTTTTCGGGTAATGTTCCTGACGTGTGCAGGAGCTGAGGGCGGGCCAAAGTGCAGGAGCTGAGGGCGGGCCAAAGTGCAGGAGCTGAGGGCGGGCCAAAGTGCAGGAGCTGAGGGCGGGCCAAAGTGCAGGAGCTGAGGGCGGGCCAAAGTGCAGGAGCTGAGGGCGGGCCAAAGTGCAGGAGCTGAGGGCGGGCGGGCTAAAGTGCAGCTCTAACAAAAACTCTTTTAGCTGAGCACAATTGCTGGCATGTTGGTTAGCAAGCTGGAATTCATACCTCTGGGAGGCTCCAGCAGACCGATCTCTCCACCCGTATCAGCAGTAATGTTTTGGCAGCTCATTCACAATAAACAGGCCCCTTTTTTATTGTCTGACAAGTTTCAGCTTTTCAGCGCTCTCACACTTTGACAATTGCACGGTCATGCAACTCTGTACCCATATGAAATTTTTATCATTTTTTTCACACACATAGAGCTTTCTTTTGGTGGTATTTTAATTTTATGCTAAATAAAACAAAAAAAAAACACACCCGAAACTTAAGAAAAAAAAAAAAAAAAAAAAATGCACTTGCCTTTGTTTCTGTTATAAAGTTTAGCAAATAAATAACATTTCTTTATAAATTTAGGTCAAAATGTATTCTGCTACATTTCTTTGGTGAAAATAATAATTGAATTTGTATTTCTTTTTTATTACATTTTTTTTTTTTTTTTTTACTATTTTATTTATCAGCACCGACCAAATCAATACAATGTTACCATAGTAACATTGAACTACTCTGGGCAAGTAAGCAGGATTTTTTTTAACATGTTATGATTGCTAATTCCGATGTATTTCATTGAT